GGTGGGACAGCTTCTGCATTTTCCCCTGTGGGTGTTGGGATGTGATAAGGAGGAAAAGGTGAGCCAAATGGGGCTGTGATGGACTGGTAAGGATAACCTGGAGGGAGATCTGTCACAAAGGCAAACAAAAATATAAATTAGAACAGCTAATTTGTCTGATATTAGGAGGTAGGTCTGATTAATTCATTGCTTAAGACACTTTATGTTTGGACTACCGTGAAAACGGTCTTATGTATCCACTCTAGCTGACATGATGATGAAAAGCGAAGATGGCTGCATTTTCACTTGTTAGGTTGCTCCAGACTCACCGGAGTAGATGCTTTGAAAGGGTGCAGAGGTCGGCTTCTGCCCCTCTCTCTGTTCCCTCTGTCCCACCTCCCCCTCTTCAGACATCTCTTGTTTAGGCCGCCGTGGCGAGGAAGGGGGGGGAGACGCTGAACGGGGTGAAGGCGGGTGAGGCAGGGGCTTCGGCGGAGACAGTACTCTCTGCCCACCTTCCTCTGACTTCAGTGTGGTCACTGGAGAGGGGAGCCGAGGCAGCGGGGTTAGGGACGATGTCGACGGGGTTGGAGATCGAGAGGAAGGAGGAGGTTTGCGGGGATGCAGCACCGGTGAGGGAGACGGGGATGAAATTGAGGAGGGTCTGGGCTTTGAGTCAGTGTTACGCTTGTCTGCTTTGTCTTCAATCTCTGGCCGGTGCTCACTGGCCTTTAGGCGCTCCTACAACACAGGAGAGGAGATATTTCTGACAGACGCACGCACCGTGTGTGTATGATGTGACAGACTCAGGATATGAATTATGGGATGTGCTTTGTTTAGACTTCCCTGGCTGTATTCTTTTGCAGCTGCAGGATATGGCTGTTTACTGATCTTTACTTTTTGGAAGCGCAATGAAAGCAGGGAACTAAAATCCTACTGCAAGCAAATCTAACATTGTCTTGCTGTGTTTATGCCTTTATGTCTACATACAGCTGGATTGTACAATGTGTAATATTCATGGAAATGTCTTTAAATATGTTGTTTGTTGACATGAAGGTGCTTAACAGCACAAAGTCCACTCACAGCTATCTGTGCATTCCTCTGTAGCTCCAAGACCTGCGCCGTGTGCTGCTGAATCATGAGTAGCTCGTGTTGTCGGAGGATCTGCTGCTGAGAGAGGAGCTGCAGCTGGGCCGCATGCTGCAAAGTGCTGGTTGTACCGTACACACCCGACCACACTGGGGCTCCACGCTCCAGTACATCACCACCTGCAGAACAGCAGCCAGAGCCATGAGAAGAAAGTAAAATTAAATGTCCATTCAAAGTTTCTGCTTTTTACAAAGCAGTTTTTTCCCCACTTACAAAAAGATTTTTTTGGATATTCTGAATTTGATAGAGAATTATTGGAACTTGGGCATGTTTACTACTGTGATACTCCGCGTCCTTTTTGTAGCTTTTGGGCACTGAGGAAACCAGCTGATGTAGTTTTAATATAAAAACTGTTGCCTTGTTGCATTGCTATAACTACCCCATGCACATTAGGTGTTACTCAACTGTAAAGGAAAACGACTGAAACTGAGTTGAGTATGTACAAGGGGAAAAGAAGTACAATGCACTGCTACAGGATCACAGATACAGGGTTTAGGGTGGCTTATGGTCACAGGATAGCCTCAGCTGATGGCAAATTATAAAATGAAGCCAGAGAAACATGAGTGATTTTCCATTTTCATTTGTTTACAGAAAGTACAAACAGTAACATCTGTCTGTATAAAAGTGGTACTCCTTTGTTTTTGCTCGAGCAAAACGGAAGCCAACTTGCACTGATACTTTTACAAAGACAACAGCTTTCCTACCATAGTGTGGCAGGTGTTCGGATGGGATGACGATTAGCTGTCCAGACTGCGGATCTCTGGCAAACTGGTAGGGAGGGGGCATCGAGCCTGGCAGAGAGGGTGGGTAGCCTGGGGGGAGGGTCTGGTGGAGTGAAGAGGGACCCAGGCCTGAATAGGAGGGGGGGAGAATAAAAGGGTGAAAAAATGGAGGCAGAAGTGTGAAAAACGTCAGATGAAAAGAAGAGAAAGTCAACAGAAGCCAAACTGAATCCAACATTTACCCAGTGCTATTCTTCATTCAGCATTTATACTTGCAGTGAAAGCATAATGGAATCACATGTGGGAGCGTGCACTGAATTTAGCTGCTTGAGAGAGTATTTTGTTTTTGGGGTTTTTTTGTCCTCCGTGTCTAGACAGAGAAGGCCCTTGGGGAGCTTTGCATGACCATGTGTCTCAGAGTTGCATGTTTTCAAACGTTACGTGTACGCTTGCATAAGCATGTGAGTGAGTTTGCATCTCTGTGCTGTTATTTCTGGATAGTGTGCGTTGGAAGAAGGAGGTCTGGAATGTCCTGCAGAGACCAGGAATGTCTGCGGCACTTGACTCAACGGGGCTGCTGCTGATTGAACCGCTCGGCGGACAGACAACACCAATCAGAAAAAGCCACGTGTGAGAAGCTAGAAAAAGCATGTGTGTTGCTCTGTGTTTAGCACCAGGTGTTATAACGCTGACAGAAGATAGAAATGATTCTGAAAGTGCAAAAGCATACAGAGTTAAAACCGCTAATTCCTTTAGCGGCGTGCTGTGCTATCTTTCCCACATCTGGGTGTCTCCTTCAGTGCTCAAGGAGCTTATTTAAACTCCAACATGTAAAGTTTCCATCAAACAAAGCGACTGTAACACACGTAACATGTGTTTACCACTTTGTTTTAATGCAAACAATAAGTAAACTAGGGCTTTCTGTATGATTACTTCCAAATAATCCGTTAAATAATTGTTTACTCTAAAAAAATAAATAAATGTTGAAACAACAGTCTAAATAAAAGCAGCACAATCAACAATGTGTCTTTATTAATTTTCTGCAGCTTGAATAAAAGATTCATTATTTCAGCTTCTCTTGACTTTTCTCTTGACATAAAGCACAAAATTATTAAAATCGCCAGTTACACAACCGAGTTCCTCAACGATGTTACGAGGGGTTTGAGGAAAAATCTAAAGTGTGAGACAAAAGCACATCTACATACTGTATGGAGAGCCAGAGAGCCAGACTGGGGGAGCTCCAGACCGGGGTATCCACGGGTGAGAGGTCAAAGTTGAGGGGTCGGGAGGCCATCGTCCTGCCCCTGCCAGAGCGGCCCCTCCTGTGACCATAAGGTTTGGGGTCATGAGGCTGGACGTCATCATACCGGGTGTCAAGCCGCTAGATAGTGGGGCAGGGTGCATCTGAGTAAACTCTGCCAGTTCCTTGGACTCTCTAAAAGGAAACAAGACCAGTTTAATAAAGGGACAACCCCTGGGGCTGAGAAATGAAGGCAGAGTGGAAGTGCCAAAAACTGCAGTTTCAAGGACAGCTCCAAAAGCGAGTCAATCCCAGTGGACTCCCATAATGCATTCGACTTTACAGCAGAAATAAACCAGTTTACAGTGTGCTACATAAACATTTTTAACCACATTCATAACAACTGTACACATGATGTTTTGTAAGATTTAGATTTCGTTCAGGCTTAAAACTTTGCATTAACAGGAACATGACTGCTTTGACAGACAGGTGGATGCAAACTAGCTAACTACTCTGTGCTGTATCAGCGAATCTGAGTGGCTGAACTGGACCTCTTCACTAGCATTTTTACTGGAATTAAATCTGTGCTCCAGTTTTGGTGAGTAAAAATTCTAGTCCCTTATTTGTTCCTTCACAGGAATTAGCAGGAGTCTGTGTCGACTGCACCTGCACAGTTTCGGGATATAGCTCGTTAGCTGAGCTTGCTCATAAGTTTGAACTCTGCACTGAAAATATGGTCACATGTAGCACCAAACTCACAAAGTGGTAAAAACCACAGAGTTTAAGTCACAAAGCAACAGGTGACACAGTTGATTCTTCCATCCTTTATATACAGGCTACGATTTTAATTTAATATTGTTTAAAGAAAAGGTGATGAAGGAGACCTGCAGGTGGCCCAATAGACTTGTTTAACCATGATTCATGACTAATGAGTAACTGAGTTACTAACAATAAAAAAAAATAATAAAATAAAAAAATCAATAGCTGAATTACTTCCCCACCTGAGCACTTTCTCCTGCTCACGTTCGAGCCGGCCAGCCAGCAGTCTGTCATTGTGGTGGCGAGCACGGTCCTCTCCACGTTCTTCATCTACACATTCAGGAAGACGGGAAGAGAGAAAAAGATTCATCATCACATTTTCTTCGATACTACACCATAGAAGAAAATATGATGGGCTATAACAGCCATATTATGCTACCTGCTACAGTGCACTCTACTATTGGACATCTCTCTGGTCTATAGTAGGGATGAAAAA